AGGACAGAAGAACCCAAGCGGTGCCCTGCTGGATCAGACCCCTGGCTCCTCTAGTCCAGCAATCTGTTCCCCCAGTGGCCCACCACTCGCACCAGGAAGCCCACTGGCCTCCCAGCAGATGGCCTTCAGAGCCAGATCCACTGCCATGAAGGGTAAGAACCATGGATCCCCAAGACTTGCATGAATTGGTCCAACCTTCTTTTGGAGCGGCCCAGCTGGTATCCAATGCCAGTCCTCATGGTAGCGAATGCCAAAGTTGAATTCTGCATGGTGTAAAACAATATCTCCTTTTGTCTGTCCTGGTTCTTCCAGGATTCAGTTTAATTGGGTGACCTCTGGTTCAGGTCTCTGGGGAAGGGGAAACAGCTTCTCCTTGTCCACTTGATCCACACCTTGCATGGTTTTGTACACCTCAGTGAGGTCCCCTCTTGTTTGCCTCTTTTCGAGGCTAAAGAGCCCCAAATGCCACAACCTTTCCTCACAGGGAAGCTGCTTCAGCCCTTTCATCCTCTGAGTCGCTCTCCTCCGACCCTTCTCCAGCTCCCTTGGATCCTCTCTGGGCTGTGGCGACCAGAACTGCAGACGATATTCCAGATGTGGTCTCACTCTTGATTTCTATAAGGGCATTATGATATTAGCCTCTCTGTTTCGAATGCCTTTTTTATTATCCCTGGCATGCTGCTGGCCTTTTTTTATCACGGATGCACATTGTGTCAACACCTTCATTGAATTGTTTACCATTAGTCCAAGTTCTCTTTCCTCGTTTGTCCCAGCCACCTCTGATCCCATTAGCTTCTATCAGGAGTTAGGATTGTTGGCCCCAGCGTGCATCAGATGGGCTGACCTCTACCATTTTGATGCCCACTCCCCTAATGGACAGAGAACCTTTGGAGCTCTTCGTGGTCCCTTAGGGTTTTTACCACTCTGAACCCTTTAGTGCCATCAGCATATTCTGCTAGTTATGCCTGATTCAGGATCATTTAGAAATCTGTTAAAAAGAAGTGATCCTTGGACAAAACCCTGGGAAACCCACAAGAGGACCTGCCCTTTTATTCTATGGCTGAGAAGTCTTTGCTAAGGGACTTTATCAAAGACGTTTTGAAACTCGGAGTAGTTGATGTCTAGTGGCTCAGCCTCATCCACGTGTTTATTACCACCCTGAAAAATTGTAGCAGATTAGTTAGACAGAACCTTCCTTTAGTGGAGCCACATTGGGTATCCTTGAGCAAGGCCTGTATCTCCAGATGTTTAGTAATTCTATCTTTAATAGCACTTTCTACAATCTTCCCTGGAACAGATGTTAAGCACGCAGCTCTGTAAAGTCCTGGATTTCCCCATGAGCCCTCTTAAAAACTGGAATTACGCTGGCCACCTTCCAGTGCTGAGCATAGAGACAGGTCACCTATTTTAATGAGAAAGTCCACAATCTCAGCTTTGAGCTCCTTCCTACCCTCAGGTGGATCTCGTGGGGGCCTGGTGATTTGCTGAGGCTCAGTTTGTCCATAAGGCCCAGCGCTGCTTCTCTTGTCACCACTCTGGGGCTCACTTCATCTGATTCCCTTCCTGGGAGCAAGAGCAAAGGCTCAGGGGTTCCCCCAATTTGTCTCCTGTGAAGATGCAGTCAAAGAAAACCCAGCCAAAGGAGAGGTGCAGAAATTCGAGGGGGACCTGCAGTAGAAACCTGGGGAGAAAAGTAGTGCGAGCCCCTAGGGGGCTTCAGGCCAGTCCCACCTTTTGATCCCAACCTACCTCACAGGGTTGGTGTGTTGGGGAGGAGGGCGTGCTGTATGTGTTTCCCTGAGCACCTGAAGGAAGGACGACCTTTGAAAAGGAATAAATAATGGACAGATTCAGAAATAGGATGAGACCTATAGCAATCAAACATAGAAAGAGAGAGCTTGGCTGTAGAGACCTAGAAATAAGGAATAATTCTATAAGAAAGTTATAAGGCTATAAAATAGGCATATTTCAACATTTCAACCATAAAACCAAAACCTTTATTGATTTAAGAAATTTTCTCTTGCATTGAACGTTTCCGTGACTTGTCTCTCGTGGAGTCTGGGCTCCATCCAGCCACTTTTGGTCCGAAGCTCCTTCTCAGCTGGTCTCCCGGCCAAGGAAGCAGAGTCACTCCAGCTGCTCTTTCTGGAAGGATATGGGGGCAACTATGCAGACATAGAGGACTTCTGAGAGAGCAACAGGGGCCATTTTCAGGGGGCCAAGCCTTCTTGGGCCCTGGACCCTTTTCTTTCTGATCCAGGAGGTTCCCCCATTGGGGGGCAATGGATGGAGGAGCAGAGGCTGGGGGACCTCTTGCCTTCCCCCATTTCTTTGGGGAGCAGAAGAACTGGGGAAGGGCTCCTCAGTTGGCTTCTCTCTGAGGAAAAGGAGGTTGTGGGAACTGGACTCTATACTTTTTAGAGGGGGAAGCAGAGCCCCCCTCATCATGAATGAAAAAATCTCATTGGGGGTCTGATCAGGGGACCCAAAGGCAGATGTGGGGGAGGAGGAAAAAGCTTCTGAGGAGCCTTTGTTAGGGGGCTTGACATGGGGATTAGGGGGCCCCCTCTGCCCCTCACCCCCCTTCCAGCCTTTTGTCTCTGCGTTGAGCCTCCAGACGGAGGACTTTGGGCTCTCCGGATCCAAGGCCAAGATGGCTCTGCTTGTTCTGCCTTTTGCCCAGAAGGAGACTTTGGGGGAGGGAGAAGATGGAGGGAAGCCGGGGAGGGTTTGAGGTGGGGGGCAGCTGGGTCTGGAGACCCTCAAGGTCCAATTTGGGGGCAGGATGAGGAGCTTCATGGGGAAAAATGTATTTCTTTCATTTTCCAACCATTATCTATCCCTTTTCTCACTGCCTCCCTCCTCCGTCAAAGTCCCTGCAGGGAGGGAGTCTCTGTCTCTCCAGAGGATTCCCCAAACCATCTTCCTGTCCCTCTTTCAGACCTTCACACCTGGCAGTGGATGTGCGGCTGTGAGCTCCAGGGAGATGGGAGCAAAGTAGGTTTTTTGCGCTGTGGATATGACGGGAAGGACTTCCTCACTTTCGACAAGGAGACCCTCACCTGGGTGGCTCCCAACCCCCAGGCCCAGATCACCCAGAGGAAATGGGACTCTATTCCAGGATTCAATCAGAGAAGGAAGGCCTACCTGGAGGAGGAATGCTTTGAGTGGCTGGAGAAGTATCTGTCCTATGGGAAGGAGACGCTGCTGAGGACAGGTGATTTCCTCCCAGCAACTGTCCTTCCGCCCACATCCCACAGGGGGCTCCCTCCCTCCCTTGCACCTCCCACTCCCACCGCTAGGGGGCACCTCTTCTATCATTAAGAGGACATTATCAGTGCCCCCACTTGGGCAAAACAGGCCAAGGTTGAAGGGTCTTTTCTTCTCCAGGGGAAAAAAATCCAAGGATTTTGTAGATCTTTTGCTTAAACCTCAAACAGGTTCTTTAACTCTTAGTAACCCCCCCTCAAAACAACCCCCTCCCCACCTTCAGGGACACCCTCAGGGCTTCCTGCTTACATTATAATATATCCCCCCTTTTTTCCTGTGAGTTTGTTCTTATTTTCCCATCAAGATCACCCCTCCTCCTCTGGCTCCGCCCCTTCCCTCTCTGGGCTCCTTGATCACTCCAGGATCAGCTGGGTGAGATCAGGCTCCATGGGGGAATACCCCCCAATTTCCAGCAGCCCCTCCCTGTCCTGGAAGGGCTGTCTCTCTCTTCCATTGGCATCACCTCTCTGCCTCCCTTTGAGAGGCAGAATCACTTTTCCAAATTAACCTGGGTGGAATTCCAAAAGCCCTCAGCCCCTTGCTTTGATTCCGGCTCTCCTCCTCTTGAAGTTTGGGTTGTGTCCCTTAGAAAGAGGCCTGGAGCAGCCTAAGAGTTCGGGGAGCGGAAGAGGAAAAAGTAGGGAGAAGGTTTTGTGTTGTTTTTTTGAAAGGGAACTTAAAAGAGCACCTCCAGTACCCTCCCCTGAAGGGAGCAGCCCAAGATCAGTCAGAGTTCAAAGCTGGCCATGTGGACTTTCCTTGGACTCTCAATTTGCTGGCAGAGATTTTTCAGACTGAGTCGCTGGGAAGGACTTAAAATCAGGAGTCCTTGTGGTTCAGCCTTTTCCAGATGCTGCAGGTGTGGAGTGTTAATTCCTTGTGTTAAAACTAAGTAGTGGGAGACTTTCCTGCCCGTCAAGTTTCTCATCCCCCTTCTGGGCTCTGGAGGGGCTCAGAGTTAATTCCGGTGTTGCGGTTTCTGCAGAGGCCCCAGTGGTGACGGTGAGCAGCAGGACGGAGGCCGACGATGGGATGGAAACTCATGCCTGCCGCGTGCATGGCTTCTACCCCAGGGAGATCGATGTCTCCTGGAGGAGGGACGGGGAGGTCTGGCCGCAGGACACCTTCCGTGGGTCTGTGACCCCCAATGCAGATGGGACCTACCACTACTGGCTCAGCATCCGGATCGATCCCAAAGAGAGGGACCGCTATCGGTGCCATGTGGAGCATGACGGCCTGCAGGAGCCTGTGGAAGTGGCCATGAAGGGTGAGAGGCTGCAGGGAGGGAAGGCTGAGCTCTTTTTCAGGGTGGAGGATTGTGGGAGGAAATTTGATCCCAGCTGTGTCCAGATGTGAACATCCTTGAGCATTAATCCAGTGGTTTTTCCCATGTTTGAGGTTTGTGGACCTGCAGGGAACAGTCCGTAGAATTGGCTTCTGGTTCTTGAAAGGAAGCAGCGTAGTCCCACCCCAGTGGTTGTCCCATCCTGAGGAAATGCACCAGATCCTCCCTTAGCCTCCCTCCCGCCCTGTTTGCTGCCTCCAGTAGAGCAGGAGGAGTTATGCTGAGCCCCAGAAACAGGTTTCCTTTTGTCTGGAATTCCTCCAGTGCAAAAATCAGGAGGAGTCTGGTAGCCCCTTTTCTGAATACCAAATTGTATTAAAATTTGTGAACTGCAGCTCCCTTCAGGAAATGCATAGAGTGGCTGGACTGATGCATCCGTAGTCAGAAAAGGGGCTACCAGACTCCTCCTGATTTTTGCACTGGAGGAATTCCAAACAAAAGAAAACCTGTTTCTGGGCTCAGCATAACTCCTCCTGCTCTGCTGGAGGCAGCAAACA